TGCACTGCTATGTTTTTGCATCAATGCAAGTTTATTTTCATTGCAATCAAACACAGCCTAAGGCTCAGTTTGGAAAGAGTACAAATACAAATTTGTAGAGTGTAAAACCTTATATTTTGTATGTATTTGCACTGTACATATTTGTATTTGTACTCTTTCCAAACTGACCCTAAACAATTTTCCATTATGGGAGAAAAATAAGTTTGAGGCAATAGAGCCAACAATAGCTGAAGCACTCTTGAAGTCTTCCTTTAATATTTTTCATTTTATCTTTCCTATTTCATTAATTTAAAAATTATTTTCTAAAGAAATTCGTCATTACTTAATTTTTCTAAGAAAAATATAAATACCTAATACCTAAATTTAAAGAACTGGAATTTAAATCTTAATAGTGTTAAAATTCATTTATCTGCATGGGACTGGACAATGTTGACATAATTTATGGGGTGATAGCCAATAAGCCCAATACGTGTGATTTTTCTCTTTCAAAGCCAATGTTTTAAAAATCGATTCAGAGGCCAACCAGTTTTTGCCTCCCGGTTGTGGTCATCTATTTGATCGTCTAGGCCAAACGAGTCAGATCGTTCCACATCAGCATCTTATATATATATATATATGTGTGTGTGTGTGTGTGTGTGTGTGTGTGTGTGTGTGTGTATGCGTGTGTGTGTTACATATTATGTATGTATTATTTTATATTTAATTTATGCTTTTAATTTTTTTATTTAACAAAAATATTAAAAATTGATTTGAGGCCAAAAAGTTTTTTTTTGTCAAAAATAGCAGATCAAGGCGCATATGGCTCCTTGGGATGCATATATCTCGAAAAGTTACTCTAAATAAAAAAAAAAGATCACCCCAATCGAACATTAGAGTGCAAAGTTAAGGCCTCTAAAAATTTGCACATACATTAAGTGTGCAACTTGCAACCTGATGACTGGGTACTGGGTCGAATGGGTCAACGATTGAACTGCCTAGGCCAAATGGTTTGAATAGAAGCAGAACCAAAAATCAAGGTTGGGTGATGATTTGAACGGTTCAACTGGTCGGGTCAATGGCGGGTTAAAAACACTGTTCAAAACAAGATTAACTATCATGTCATAAAAATCATATGATTTCTATTAAAGTTTTGGCAAGTTTGAGTTACAATGATAGGTCTATGACCTTTAATTAATGGGGCCAGACATTATCATAACATCAATTTTGTCATAACATTTGAGTAATTAAAACAAAAAAATTGATATTAAAATATATT